ATAATATCTTTCGTTCTAGGAGCAGAGAACGGTTGCCTACCTACAAGGCGGACCCTCATTCGGTATAGTTTTGTTCTGTTTTTATGTCTTCTGTAAATTTAATGCACTTCGCTCAGCTACCCCGTGCATAATGTTAACGCACGGGGCCCTACGTTAGTCGGCTTTCCCTCGGGAATCGCAACCTTCTTGCCTATCAAGAAATTTATCATTTCCTCTCTTTTCCACCCAAAGACAGGAAATCTCTCCTCAACGCGAGAGTGCACACTGGCGTTGTCCATGACTATATGACTGCCTGGAGGCAGGTGGTCCATGGCGGCCACCCACCACTCTTCAAATCTTTGCCCTGTCATTTCGTCATGGTGGGTTCCGTCCTCAAGAGTCACCGACTTGCCGGCCTCAAAGACCAGCTTGCACCCCGGAATGAACCCGTCCTCATTGCCCAAGTGGAGCACGATCAGCCTCCCGCCTTTACCTGGTGTCTGTTTTAGTCCAACGGTGAGTCCTTCCCTGTGAGCGTCGCGTGGTGAAACAACTGTCGTGTCGTGCCACGCGTAACTTGTCGTATGGCCGGCGTTAATCCATGTCTCGTCCAAGTAGAATATCTTCGCATTTTGAGCGCGCAACTTTTGCATCTGGCGCAAGTAGCGGCGGCGCCAGTCGATAAGGTCCGACCGCTCCAGAAAAGCCGAGTTCCTCTTCCGTTTGCAGTACACAAAACCGATGTCACACAGGAACCTCCGGATCGTAGTGGTGCTCATGGTGGGCAAAGAGATGTCCTTGTCCAGCTCAGCCTTAATCTTCTGCAAGGTGGGCGCCTCGTTGCGCCGGAAAAATGAATGAACAAGGCGCCGCACCCCGTTGACGACGTCATGCCCATACACGACGGTCCTCTTCTGCGACAAGTGCTCCAGTCGCGGTCTCTTCTTTCCAGGTGTCACGGCCTGCTTACCGGCGTCGAAGTCGCTCTTGATCTTCAAGACGGTGACGTAGCCAGTCCCGGTCAAGTGCGCAGTCTTTTTGCACGCCTGGGTGGGAGACAGCTCGGGGTTGTCGATCATAACGTTCCCCAACACCGTCAGCAAAATCTTCTGCTCCTTGGAGGTGAGCGACTCGCCGCGCTTGTGCTTCGTGATGTAGCGCCGGGGGTCGATTGGGTCCATCGCTGAGTCGCGGGGAAGCACAGCACAACACAGAACACCACAACACAGCAGAGCTCACGCAAGACAAAGTCGGTGCACACGGGTTGACTCGGTGCCACGGACTGAAGACACTGCTGTCGCGGGGGTGCTGCAACCCCCTCTGTCCTCGTGGTCGGAAGGAAATGAAGCCTTCCTATTGGTCATCCATAATGCCCCCCATCCCTCTCCACTCTTCCTCACCCGTTTCCGTAGAAAAGAACTTTTCCTCTTGACCTTCCACTATTTTCACGCAAACATACTGGAAAGACAAAAGGCAGCGGACAACGCCCCGACGCGCACGCACGACAGACAGGAAATATTGCCGCCACGGTTTAATGCGGATGCGTTCCCGATTGCGCCTGGTTGGGACGTGTGGCGTGTGTGTCAACAACTTCGACAAAAGACCCTTTCGAAAGAAACGCAACAAACGCAGAGAGAAATGGTGTAATAAAGCAATGAGCTCTGAGGAAGGGCACGGGCAGCGTACCCCCCCCCCCTCCCCCCTCGATTATCCCTGGGCCTGGGCGTCGAACTCTTTTATTGACTGTCATTCATTTGCACCGCAATAAATATGTTACACTTACTTGAATTTTGTAGATCACCATGCTGCTGCTGGGCGACTGCGCTTGCTGCGCTGGACTTCCCTCCGCTCTCACCTGATCGAGCTCACCTGCACGGGAATCCCGTAGGAGGGGAGGGAGGGGGG